GATGCACTAAATTATGTATCTTAGTGTAGTCTACTTGTGTGCCAAGTTATATTGAAATCAGACCAAAACTGTAGGAGGAGTAGCGTTTTAAAGGAATTTCACAGAAATTTCTATTTTTAGTAACCATGGCAACACCGTCCATCGAAATCAAAAACCGATGCACTAAATTATGTATCTTAGTGTAGTCTACTTGTGTGCCAAGTTATATTGAAATCGGACTAAAACTGTAGGAGGAGTAGCGTTTTGAAAAATTGTTTACAGACAGACGGACAGACAGACAGACAGACAGACAGACGGACGGACGACGGACACCTTACTATCGCATAAGCTCTTCTGGTCTCTGACCAGTAGAGCTAAAAATAAGGTCCTCATGTGCATGCTAAGAGTAAAGGATATCAGTAAAACGAAGTTCTACAAAGACTATGCAGTTTCAGTATCATTCAGTACATTGAATTATCTGACCTTGTAGCTTTAGTATGCTCAGTAATTTTGGTTGCATATTTTGGTTACATTAGATATATTTTTTTTGCATTAGTCCTCAGTTGTATATCTATAAACAGAAAATATTTTCAATACTCTTTCCCTAAATATCTAAACATTTACATAGGCTAGTTATACATAAGACAATATTCAAATTCTAAATGGCTGTTAGAATGTATTATATTTTGCCCTTTGACAGGTAAGATGTTATCCTTTATTAAATGCCTTTAGAACTGCCAGGATTGACTGCAATTTTCGGAAATTAAAATGTTGTTTTATAATGCATCGAGACATACCCTCCTCTTTTTGTCGGGTTCATTGTTTTGTGATTGTACAGCATTGTTTATTTTGTGAATCAATCTTATTTTTCAATAACTTGTCGAATTATTATTGTCAGTAATTGCTTTAAATTCTCTTATTTTTCAAAAGACTTTTCTCTTACATTACCAAATCAGTTGGTTAACAATAATAGGTTGTTTTTGTAAAAAAAAACAAAAACAAAAAAAAAACAAAAAACCAAAAAAAAAAAAACAGCAGTTACTGCAAACAATGTTTAACATCAAATATCTCCATATATTTTTGTGCGGTTAACAAAGTATGACTTTTAAGATACATATTTTTAATTGAATTAGTTCGTTAAGTGCATTAAAATATATGCAGTATTGACTGTTTATTTTCGAATAAATCTAGATTAAATTGCATGACGCATGACAAAAATACCATCGTAATGCTTAAGAGCATTCAGAATCCTTAAGTATCCCTTCTGTTGTTTGTAAATCGTATTGACATTTACCAGTGATTGCCGCATGTATTTTTATGTACAGTTGACAGTGTCAGTTCCTTGCAATACACAAGTTTCGAGATTATCTCACTTATTGCGCTCTTTCATTACGGAGGGAAGTTTTGTTTCCCCATAACCCGGCAGGTGGGACAGTTATTTGTAACGTTACATCATGGATATGCCAGTCTATTAAAACTTTTTTTCCGGAATGCACTCATCAAATTCGAAAATTACCTAATTTAAGTAAAGACGTCAACTTTTTTTCTACCAAAATAATCGGAACTAAGAAAATGTCAGTGGATAAGGCTCATCAGACGAAGAAGAGAGATGGATCTCTAATAAACAGCTGATAAATACACTTGAATTTGATCATTGCAGTTCGGCATTCTGAATGACACACCGAATCTTGCCATTATAATTATTTCAAAGAGTCCACTAACTTTTTAGAAAAAAAAGGTTAGTACAATCAAGGAAGCATCTATTTCACAAAGCAATCTGTTAAAAACTATGACAGTTCTTCATTTTTCAAATATCCTTATTGAAAGTAGATTTGTGAAACTTTTATAGTAATGCTCAATAAAATCATCAAAATCATCGCTGTTTGACGTTATAATCAATCTATAACATTAGATGAGTTTTCAGAGCCCTAGTCATCGTTCATTTATTTATGCACGTTTGTATACATGGACAACCTGTCCCACTTCCATGCTTATATGGATACTATTTGCGCCTCTATCATTGAAGAGCTAAATTCTCGAAACTTGCGTATAAAATTCCTACAATACGCAGTCCATCCAATGTCTATACAATCTTTTATGTAAGCGGAAAATTTATTTATATTCAGTTAAAATGCCAATTCTTCTCAATTAATTGTTTAATTATGGATTTTTTTTCATTGCCTTATATTTCTATTTCATCGCCATGAATCAAATTACTGTTTCTGTAATATCATTACATTTCACGAAACCACTTTCACTTTCCATTTTAGAAATTACACAATCACTTAGCCAGTTGCACCTAACTACCAAAGTACTGTTATCATTGATGCAAATAATTGTAATTGATTATGTAATGATTGATTGATAAAATGAAAATATGAATTTCTTAAGATTATCAATCTCATTAAAGAAGAACAAATTAAATCGTATTATCCAATGTTGCATTCATAAGGAAAAAAGAAGGTAATGTCATATGAAATGTCCAAAATTGAATTGTCTCTTCAATCACAATCAAGCTGGAAAAGGTGGAGGAACGTCTACTAAATGTGTGTGTCTGCCCAAAAAGGCAGTTGTGCAAATTGCTTTACCATGGAACAAGAAGGGTCTTCATATGGCAAATTTTCTTTGACAATTTATTTGATTCAAAGTAAATATTTAATTCTAGACAGGTTTACACGATTTTCCTCAAACAAAACATATTTATCGTTTGCTGTTTGCTTAATGATTGCATGAAGAAATTGTTGATTATCAGTTTAAGAGAAAATACCTGTATCAGTAAAAAGTTCCTTTTTACCAAATTTAAACGTTAGGTACTCAAGAATACAATTCTTAAACAGCTATATTCTGGACCATTCAATCCATCAACATATTAAGCAATGCTTTCTGTTTTTGTATCACATTCAAAAGCTTATTTATTGATTGTTATGAAATCATATAAAGCATTTGATATGCATGATATTTGAACTTGTTTGATCTTTCCATTGAACAACTCTTGAATATCTTTCAATTGTTTTACATGAACTCTCAGACTAAATTGCCAGCATGAGTCCATATAATATTTGTTATACCAACAAATTAACCAACCACTTGAAACCGACATACGTTTATTGTGACTGGTGTTTATGAATAATTCTAAATGTTTTTATATCTGTCTTGCAAAGTTTTTACCTTTCCTACGTTCCTAAATTGATTGATTGATTTTTTATTTATTGTTTTACGTCCCATTAGAGAATTGTTCACTCATATTAACGCTTCATTAACAGGTGAAGGGCTTAATATGTAGACATATACTCGGCATTCATAGATGGAAAATAAATCAGAAAAAAAATAATTTAATTTCATGTGAATTTTAGATAGAAAAACTAATATATAACGGGTTGACTTATCTCATAAACGGCGACGCGCAGCTGAACCATACTGTTGATCACTTTTTATACGCAAGAACTTTATTTTTGCGTAATTACGCGAGACTGCCTGCTCACGAAAATTAAATTCTCGCGCATATGTGTAGTACAGAAGATAATCTATATTATGTCTCGCTTATAAATACCTTATGTCCATCTCGCGAAATGAAGGTGTCGCGAAAATTTGTTGATCCTCAATATTTAAAATTTATCAACCCCGATATATTTCTGTAGACAGTCAGTAACAAACCATTTTTTCTCGAAAATCATAATCTGTATTATACAGACACAATTATTGATGAACAAGACATTTGAATTCAAAATATAAATCTGTTTATTGTCACAACATCTTGCTTTTTAGTCCCCTCCAATTTCACACAATCAAACCTTTCAAAATTACCGTAAAAGTAGAAATTTTAGCGAGGATTCAACATTGGCATTTTTAGCGATGGTGTTGGGATCGCGAAAATTAAATATCGCTAATAATTCATTCCCACAGAGATTACTATTATCTTTCAAGACATCACAAAATCGCTAAAATATATATCTTATCTTTTAAAAATTAATAATCGTGAAAAAGAAATCTTTAAGGCTACATTCCGTACTTATAATGTTTTTTCAATGATTAATTTCAAAATCTTTATCTCTCTCTTTCTCTCTCATCCTTTAATCTCTTTCTCTCTCTCTCTCTCTCTCTCTCTCTCCTTTGAGTACCATCGTTTCGAAGATAACACAGAGGAAATGTGAAGATGTGTCCAACAGTGATCATTCTAAAAAGTCCATTTTAAAATGCAAATTATGACAGAGCCGACAAGGACCTCCTAAATCAGAGTAGCTATCAGGTGCCATTGGGAATTAAGTATCTCATGTCGACCGGTCAAAACAGCTGTGTACTTTTCATGATCGGGTAAGCGGAAAATTTCTGTGACAATTCAGTGTGACATAATGACTTAACAATTTGTATGAAAGACTTCAGTCAGTAACCAACTTCAAAACAGATTTTATTTTCAAACAAAGTCATAATATAGACCATAAAAATTTGCAAAATTTTGACTTCAAACGAGATTCGTGATCTCCTTGTCAACTTGTGAGTTAAAAACCTACATTGGTTTAGAAACTATTCGAATGTAGAACATGCCCCTGCCCATGGTACCAACACGAATTATACTCCATATTCAGGTGATAATGGTATACTGGTAGGTAAAAAGGAGAAGTTGTAGTCATTGCATTTAACATAAATTTTAGTTGTCAGTTTATTAATGTCATATCTTAAAATCACCGCTACTCTATCAATAATGAAATATATATATATATCTCCTCGTAATGGTTTATACTTTATTGCAGGTAAAATTCAATCTTTTACAATTACAAGCATTTGTTCAATACCTAATTGTATTTAATATTTTTACAAGTAATCAAGTTTTGTTAACGTTCAAGCCTGTCGAGTCTTATAATTTGATTCCATTCTAGAACAGTTCTATTTAGAATGATTTGTCGACTATTTGATGTCTTTTACATGAACCCAGTATTTTGTTAAATCACGATACTTATAAAAAGTAACACGATATAATTTGTGTGTATGATTGTGTTTGAGAGAGAGAGAGAGAGAGAGAGAGAGAGAGAGAGGGAAGTTTTGTTTTTACAAAGAAAGAAATTATTTCAAATTTCGTAACAATGTCTATTGTCGCGTGTTTCGTAGTTTGTGTCCCTTCCGTATATCCTCCAGTAATCGATCTATAATACAATCATCCTCCATTGGCTCCTTCTTTGATGGAGTGTCTGAAGAGAAATAAAACAAGAGGCCCAGGGGCCACATCGCTCACCTGAGCACTATGGCTAGGAAAAAACAGAAATCAGTTCAGTCTTGAAAGGTTGAAAAGTTTAAATATAAAAGTGATTCGGGGGGAGGGGGAGTCATGAATTGAACAAATTGAACAAATTTGAATCATTATCTGAGAATGCTTCCATATAAATATGACCAATCATGGCTTTGCTGTTCTTGAGTAGAAGATTTTTAAAGATTTAACCTATGTATTCCTATGTAAAACTTTGATCACCCATTGTGGCCCCACCCGACCCCCAGGGGTCATGTTTGAACGAACTTGAATGTACACTATCTAAGAATGCTTCCATAAAAATATGACCAATCATGGCTTTGCTGTTCTTAAGAAATAGTTTTTTTAAAGATTTTTACTTTGTGTTCCTACGTAAAACTTTGATAAACCATTGTGGCCCCACCCTATCCCCGGGGGTCATGATTTGAACAAATTTGAATCTACACTATCTGAGGATGCTTCCATGTAAATATGACCAATCATGGCTTAACTGTTCTTGAGAAGAAGATTTTTAAAGATTTTTCCTATATATTCCTATGTAAAACTTTGATCGCCCATTGTGGCCCCATCCGACTCCCGGGGGTCATGATTTGAACAAACTTGAATCTACACTATCTGAGGATGCTTCCATGTAAATATGACCAATCATGGCTTAACTGTTCTTGAGAAGAAGATTTTTAAAGATTTTTCCTATATATTCCTATGTAAAACTTTGATCGCCCATTGTGGCCCCATCCGACTCCCGGGGGTCATGATTTGAACAAACTTGAATCTACACTATCTGAGGATGTTACCATACAAATATGACTAATCACGGCTTTGCTGTTCTTGAGAAGAAGATTTTTGAAGATTTTTTCCTATATATTCCTATGTAAAACTTTGATCGCCCATTGTGGCCCCACCCGCCCCCCGGGGGTCATGATTTTAACAAATCTAAATCTACACTATCTGAGGATGCTTCCATATAAATATAACCAATCATGGCTTTGCAGTTCTTGAGAAGAAGATTTTTAAAGAATGTTCCTATATATTCATATGTAAAACTTTGATCGCACATTGTGGCCCCACCCGACCCCCAGGGGTCATGATTTGAACAAACTTGAATCTACACTAACTGAGGATGCTTCCACATAAGTTTCATGTTTTCAAGCACAGTGGTTCTTGAGAAGAAGATTTTTTTAATGATGCCATTAATTTTTCATGAATTCTTAATTATCTCCCCTTGGAAGAAGGCGTGGCCCTTCATTTGAACAAACTTGAATTCTCTTTACCCAAGGATACTTTGTGGCAAGTTTGGTTGAAATTGACCCAGTGGTTCTTGAGAAGAAGTCAAAAATGTGAAAAGTTTACAGACGGACAGGCGGACTACAGACAAAATGTGATCAGAAAAGCTTACTTGAGCCTTCGGCTCAGGTGAGCTAAAAATTGATTCCTTATATTTTCTAACATATCTTAAGTAATATCAAAACTTCACAAAATGCCTAATGAAGATCTTATTTTAACATACGCTTAGCATGTTTCTTTGCCATCTCTTGGTCTTGTTTCTTCCGTCGTTCTGCCCTTTGTTCTTGCTGAATCCGTTGTAAATTTTCCTTTTGAAGATTATATAGAAATATATAAGTGAAATGGATTTATCTAGATAAAGGTTACATGTATCAATGAACTAGGAATGCAATAAACATTTACCTTTTGACATTCCTTTACACAGGAACAAAATGTATTCATGTCCTCTATACACTCATCAAGTTTGAAACTTTTCTCTTTTTCACAAAAGTAACAGACTAGTTGTTTTGTCAGATCTGTTATAGTCTCTAAATACTCATCCAATGAACTCATTTCCTTTTCCGCAGCCTAAAATGATCAATATTTATTTCTTTTTTTTTTTATTTTAAGAACATCGATTTGCCAATCTAAATGAAATAATTAAATTTACGTAATCTTAATCGTAAATAAATTATGCATGAGTTAATTTAACATGCCTGCACAAATATATCGAGTTGTTTCTTGACATCACTAGGACACTTCTTCAGATTTTTCTTGAGATTGGAAACACTGCTTTTCACCTGTCTTACTTCCGTTATCAATGCGTCCACTGTCAAACTTCAATAATTATTTTTAGTAATATCAAAAAATAAAATCATATCAAATAAAGGACTTTGATATCTACCTCAATCCAATCGAAGGTATGCTTGTAAAAACATCACCATCAAAGACATTCTGATGTCTTAATCTGAATTATAATTATAGATCTAAATGCCATGGCAAAAGTGCGTAGAAGGTATTTATAACTTTTATTGTTTTTGTAATTATTTTTTTGAAAATTTTGTTTGTTTGTATGTTGTTTTAACGTCCCTCTCGAGAATTTTTCACTCATAAGGAGACGCCGCCACTTGCCGGTGGAGAACTGCAAATTTTGTCCTATACTCGGCACTTACGGTCATTGAGCAGTGAGGGATCTTTTTCGTGCCAGCACCTACTGCGACACGGGACCTCGGTTTATAGGGTCTCATCCGAAGGACCGGTATCCACGTCCCACAGTGGGATTCGAACCCGCGACGTAAGGATCAACTCCTTACTTCGCGACTCTAGAGCAGACGCTCTAACCACTTCGCCACGCGGGCGACAATTTTTGAAAATCAATTCAATAATAAACATTCATAAATTCATACACTGGTTGCTATTAACGATACTTGAAGTTTTACTTACTTTGAGGCTATAGCCAGATATGGAGACAACTCCTCTACAAAAGTTAAAGCGTTGCCGTCCTCTTTTTCAGCTTCCTCAACAAGATAGTGCAGAAGAGTTACCCTCGGTTTGTTGGCTCTGGTGTCCATCAGTTTATTTAAAGAATTTATCCGGAAACCCACTGCATTTCCAGCATATCCACCCTATTAAAAAATGAATTGTAATCTGGATAAATTATGCTTTACTCTACCAAAAATGTTCAAAGTGTCTGTAATGAATGCAAGTTATTTTTGAATTAATTCAACCATATAATTTCTGAACAATACCAAAAAAAAAAAAAAAAAAAAAAAAAAAAAAAAAAAATGGATTCTATAGTATGATTGTATGAAACCAAAAAGCCTTAATTAGATAAATCATCATTTTCATTTCCTGAATGTAAAGAAATATGAAATATACATTACCGCATTCATGAAATTTCCAGTATGTAAAACATAGCGTAAGAACACTTTGAGGGTCTTATTTTCCAGAAGACACTGGCATGCTTTGACCACAGCGTTGATGCTTGGTAACAGATTGTCCAGTGTTACTCGAAACTCGTCTTTGAGAACAAGACCGTCGATACGGATTTTATAGGCGGGTAGCTGGATCAATTTTAAGTAGAATTTCTCTGCATTCCCAAGCTTCTCTTTATCTCCACTAAAATCCTCAAGCATGGTGACCTGTTAGAAGAAAATGTACTGTTTCTGTACTTATTGATTCAACAGGTACCTCAACAGATACTTTATATTTGAGACTAGGACGATTATTCACAATGAAACTGAAACGTAAATATGATTAAATAAGATATCGTTTTGATAAATATCTTTATTAAACCATATTTTATTTAACTTACATTTTTTTGCACAAGCTTGGTATTTACAATATTTTATTTAACAATCTTTTATTAAGGCTTTATCTGCTTTACCTCATCCTCTTTCGGAAGTATCTTCTGTAGCCCAAGTAAGCGTTCCTTGCCTATTGTCTCCACATCGCCAGCTTCAATCATAGACAAGATCTCATTATGGCTGCACTTAAATTGTTTCAGGAAGATGTTTACGTTCATGCTCCGTTTCGAATCTAGAAGCAAAATCTGGAAGAAAATATTGTCGGGCGTATATTCTTTCCGTCTCTCGTTCATGGAAAAAAACACTTACATTAAGTTAACAAAAAAAATAAGCAGGTCAAAAAGGACAACTGTCTGAAATAAAATACAGACTCAAAAAATGTTATTATTTCCATGGATATCTTCAAATATTAACATTTTGTCAATTCCTTTCCCTATATCACTATACTAACGAAATTGACATTAACTTGTCGATGACATGAAGTTGGGTATTTGAGCAGACTTTCTTGCATATGGAAAGCAAACTGCACGAGACATTTAGAAGGTCTACACCGTGAGGTCCCACAACGTCGTATGTATGGTATGTTGCATTTCCGTAACAAAGTCTATGCAGTGCATATATTATTTTATTGTAACACGAATGAATAAAAAGATAAGTATTAATTGATACGTATTAATGTGTACATTAGCTCGCTTCGGGCGTTATAGGATTTGATCAAGTGACCAATATCATGTCAAATACCAATTAAATTCTAAGAATTAGATCTTATTTCTTTAAGTTCAGCTATTTTTATTTTTCAAGTTAAAATAGCATTGGTGATGAGGATTATATTTTCGTCCAGTTTTGATGATGGTTTCAATTAACCTATCATCAGTCTTACCTCTGACGGAAGCTTAATTTTTTTATTTTCTTTAACCTTCTCGATTTGTTTCCGGCAAAATAGCAGCTCTAGGTCCTCATGCTTCACACGCAGTTGATCCTCCATATGCATAATTTTACTCCATACATTTCCATCCGCTTTGGATATAAATAATTTTCGTCACTTTTAATTGTCAGTTAAAATATGGAATCTTATATTTATGTTCAAGTAATGGCGTGCAGAACTTCTGATTAAGCCAACTAAATATATGTATGTGTTTCCGGTAATTTGCCAGACTTGAATAGATACGTGTTTCGGTGCATTTCTTGACTGCACTATGAGAAAACTGTGCTAGCGAACAAAAGTACGGTTCAAAATCCAGATTTGGAATTAAAAAGTAATAGGGTCAGTGGGTAAAAATTAGGGTCGATCTGGTTACCGAAAACACACTTATTTTTTAGAGCATATGTATATAATGAACAATGAATTTATATAAAAGTTCTGTAGAAAATACAAGTAAAAACAGTGTATATGTAAGAATTTTCACTCACATGATATACATCTGGAGGGAACTTTAGTCCAATTTACTGTTTTCATTTTGTGTTTTGGAGTGTGACTACACAATTTGCTACTAAATCCCTGAGAGCTTGGGGCTGAGGATGGAGGAGGTGGAGGAACAACTGCTCCACCTGGAGGAGGTGGTGGTGGAGGTGGCGGCGATAATCCAGACAGCGGAGGAGGCGGTGGTGGAGGTGGTGGCAATAAGCCAGGCGGGGGAGGTGGCGGAGGCGGCGGTGGATGTGGTTGCGAAAAACCTGACACCGGAGGAGGCGGTGGTGGAGTTGGGGGAGTTGATGTATTCCCTGTATTGTGCATTGGTGCTGGTGGTGGAGGAGGAGGAGGGGGAGGAGACATTGTATTTTTTTCTGAAGATAGTGGTGGCAGTGTTGGTGCTGGAAATGGAGCAGAAACCGAACACTGAAGTGGTAATGTATCCTTTCCACATACGGCGTATCTGTCGATATGTATACTGTCCAACAAAAACACGTTCCTAACTGAGGTTTCTATCAATTTCCAGCGGTCGTAACTAAAACAAATATCAGGATTCAGTTTACTGTAAAAAATGTTATTTAAGTGCATAAAATTCATCTACCTTATTATAATGTGATACATGATGAAAAAAAAAAGAAAAAAATAAACATCAAAGTAAAGAATTTTAGAATAAAAATTAACTACTTTACAAGTTTTCTTAGTAAAAGAACACTCTTCTGATTGTTTCAACATTGTAATTAGACTATATAATAACAGTTGATAGTTCTTTTGTTGCATTAGAAATACTTTACTAGAGAAGTCATGGACGTTGGTGTGAATAATAAAGAAAAGATTCCCCGTACCTAATTTTGTTTTCTGGTTCTGTTTGTAAGAGAGTATGTAAAACACTCAGAAGGACATCAGCCAATGGCGTATTGTAAACCTGACACAAATAAGTTTTTAAATAAATATTTAAACACAATTAGTATTGAGATACCAGCGGTTTTAATCAAAATTTAAAAAAAAATCAATATATCGAACGCTTTTATAATCCAAGATATTTGAAGATCTGAGTTTTCAGCAAGATATGGTTCAATTAGTTTACATGTTTTATTTATAATGATTGAGACCTGATGGTACATGTACATGTAAATTAAAATTGTACTTTGATAATATTGAAATTTTATTATTGGTACTTTGTACATAGAAAATGATTATGCATTTTCTTTTTTTTTATTACTTGATATTAAGTGTCTTAATTGATTATATTCTTGATTTAAACTTTGACGTTACACAATTTTTTTTTTTTTTTTTTGATATATGATAAAACTTTTAAAACATCTTATCAACTAAAGTAGAAATCCACTGTAGAACTACACTTCGATTCTTTATTCATTTTTAAATACATAAAATCTTGATGCACCAAATAATTTTGAATTACTGCAAAACAATGCTTTGAACTCGCATGTGATATCTATGTACTAGTGTATGCATTGCCCGATGAATAACTCTACAAGTTGGTGATACAAGGATATCAACAGTTTCGTTAAAAGTCAACATTGTGCAGATTATATGATCGATACAATGACCTTGTCAGCAAATACAATCTACAATTATGTCTAATGAAGACTGGTATTTTCTTTACAAGTTCGGAAAATTGATTCTGATTGGCATAATTTCATTTAACCATGTTTTGAAGTTTTCAAATCATTCAAATCAATGAGGATTTGTCTTGAAATCATATTTTTGTTAATAAACTTTAAGTTTGTCCCTCCTTATTCAAATCAATATTTGTTTGTGAAACACTGAAACACTGATGTTCCCGTATGATAGCTCATGGCGAAAGTTAGTTCCTCATATACACATAAAAATCCAAGGTCAAGATAAAAAATGTTGGTACCCAACAAAGGTCTTGTCACAAAAATACACCTTTGAAATATTAAAGCCATAGCACCAATCCTTTCAAAGTTAAAGCCAATTTCAACGTTTTTCAAAAAAGGTTAAACTCAACAAGTCAAAGTAAAAGTTTGTATCCAAGTAATGGTCTTGTCACAAGGAATGCACACTTGAATTATGCAAGCCCTTACGCCAATCGTTCAAAAATTATTGCAATTTTTAATGCTTTATCAAAGTAAATCAAACTCCAAGGTCAAAGGGTCCAATATGTTAAAAACCAAGGTCATGTCACAGATAATACACATGTGAAATATAAAAGCCCGAGCACAAACATCTCAAAGTTAACGTTTTTCACAAGTACATCGAACTCCAGGGATAAGGATTAAAGATCAAAACGTTTGACACCAAAGAAAAGGTCCTGTCACAAGTAATACACATGTTAAACATGAAAACCACCGCTCAATGGTACAGATATGTAAAGCCAAAGGTAAAGTTTTTCAAAAATATATAATTCAGGGTCAAACATTCAAATATGCTGGTGTCAAAAAAAAAAAGATCTTGTCACAAGAAATAAGCATTTGAAATATGAAATTCCTAGCACAAAACTTTCAAAATTTAAGGCCAAGGTTAACGTTTTTCAAAAGTATGTCAAATTCCAAGGTCTAGGTAAAAAGTCAAAATTGTTGATACTCCGTGAAGGGTCTTGTCACAAAAAATACTCATATATATTATGAAAGCACCGGCTCCAACCGTTCAAAACCTATAACCTTTCTTAAAAGTGGGTAAAATTCCAAAGTCAAGGTCAAAATTAAAGGTGAAAAATAATTATACCAAAGGAAAGGTCTTGTTACAAAGTATACACATGTGAAGTATGAAAACCCTTGTAAAAACCATTCAAAAGTTATGGCCTAGGTTAATGGTCAAAATCCAAGGTCAAGAGGTAAACTTTGTTCATACCCAAATAAAAGTATTGTCACACGAAATACACAAATAAAATATGAAAAGTCCTAGCTCCAACAAATCAAATGTTATGGGCAAATCTAATTTTTTGCAGAAACACAGACAGATAAATAGACAAACGGACAGATGGACGTAGCTAAAACTATATGCACAAGAATCTTCGATTACGGGGGTAAAAAAGGAATTGATTATTCCTATAAATGCAATTTCTTGAGAAGTCAACAAAAGCTACCTGCAAAAAAAAAAAAAAAAAAAAAAAAAAAAAAAAAAAAAAAAAAATTCTCGGTAAACATTTTGAAAAGTCATATTCTATTTACCTTGTGGTAGAGAGCATTGAATACCTCCTTGACGTTGTTAATGTCAATACCGCCTGGATTCAAAGCCGCCATTGTTGCATCATCTGACGCCTTCTCATCGTCAAAAACATCGCATTGAATGATCAGCTCCTCCTCGTCTTTATTTCTCAAATCATTTAGCATATCCAAAATGTTAAGACCTAATGGGAGATAAGAAATTTTATTCCATACTTTTTTAATTCTCGAAAAATAAATTCAATGCAAATGTATTTAAAATTTGCGACATTTTATGTTCAGAGAAATAAAATTTGCTACTATTAAGGTTAACTGTGTTTTGTTGAAATGAGAAGAGGAAGGCATATGATAAAATAGATGATGTCTGTTCAGAAAAAAAGAAAAAAATGAAGAAAAAAAAAAACATCAGAAAACAGCATATCCAAAGCACCAATATATCCTTTCAAACAACTATGCAGAGTTTAACAAATCAAAATAAAATTCAATTTGCAAGCCTATTTTTTGAAGAAAAGATATTCTCTTTTTCAATATACGGATCAGTTGTGCATGAGAGTCACTGAAGAGACATGATTTGTAGAAATGCCCATCTCGTGCATCAAAATTCGTACGGTATCAGATTAACAATATGATACCTGTGTCGAGGCCTCTGCTGGTGGACTGTTAGTCCCCGAATTTCTCCAAAGCCCAGTAGTTAAGTACTTTGGTAATATTTTGAAAATAAGGATATATATTTAATTGCTGTAAGAATTTATCTCGAAATTCAGGATTATCTCCTTCATGCATAGACCTGATCCTTTGACGTATTTGACTCCAGTCTTAGGCACCCCTTTTCGCAGCTCTTCATTTCTTTTTATTTAAATATTTCGGATTTCCATTGATTTGGCATGAGCATCACTGAAGAAACATAATTTGTCGAAATGTGCATCTCGTGCATCAAAATTGGTACCGTATCAGATTAACATTTTGACCCCTTGGTCGAGGCCTCTGCTGGTGAACTGTTAGTCCCCGAGGTTTTTTGCAACCAAGTAGTTAAGGACTTCGGTACTAGCTTGAAAATAAGGATATATATTTCATAACAGTGGTAAAACTTCGAAATTTATTTCCAAATTCAGGATTATCTCCCTCATGCATAGCTCTGATCCTTGGACGTATTTGGCTCCAGTCTTTGGCACACCTTTTTTCGGCTCTTCATTTTTTTCTATTTAAACATTTTTGATTTCCAACGTTTCGGCATGAACATAACTGAAGAGACACAATTTGTCGAAACGTCTGGTGCATCAAAATTGGTAGCGTATCAGATATATATTGTGCATTATACAAGATAAGTTGTAAAGAACAAAAATAATCAATCCTACATTTCCACCAAAATATCTAGCTATTCTCACATTGTAAGCTCGAAAGAGAGTCAGTCTTTATTTTTATATTATTTTTTTAACTTTATGATAAAATTTCATTTCTTTAAATGATTTTCGAAATAACAGTCTAGCGATTTGTAATACTGAAAAATTCAGTTAAAACTACTTCGAAATTTTCAGAAATACATGTATTTTGTTACGCACTCAGAATATTAAACACCCTTTTCACGTGAAAAATAGTTTTGAATATTTAATTGACTTTACTGCTTGATCTACAAATCACAATTTAAAAGTTTTGTGAAGGTGGATACTAATTAATTTAAACATCATTATTTGTCGCTCTCTGATTGTTCTCTAACAGAAAACATTTTGTAAGCTTTCATGTATGCATTATGCCTCCGTTTTGTTTGTTTAAATTATCTGTTTGTCCAATTTTACAAAATATATTCACGCTTAAGGTATTCAATGTATAATTAAGGAATATTGAACAATTTTGAATCATTTTAAACAAGTTAAATACACTGTATGTATTGCTAGATAATGATGAAAGTAAAATGAACGAAATTCACATGACTGATAACATATTAGAAGCCAGTCATTTTGCACCTTAAACGTTTTTCAAGAGTTATCTGCCGTTGATGAAAAGGAGAAAATTTTAATTTTGTCAAAATACATGTTGTAGAGGATTCATTTTATTCCATATCTTTATATAGAGAGAGTTTATGCATATTTTCGCCAAAAGATTTGTATTCTGTTCAAATTACTTTGTACAATATATTATTAAAACATGCCCTGTCCATAGACTTCAATGTAAAAATTCAAAGTGCAATTAAATAATCAGAATTTTGGAAATTTCTTCGGTGGGGTACTTTATTTTGATAACACCTTCAAAATGCGACCATGATTAAAAATATCAGAACATTCATTTATTACGTACAAAATATGGTCGTTATACATTAGATACCTTAAGTGGACTTCATTTGTTCATTCGATAACATTCTCTACATGTTGGCATTATTTTTTTTTATTTTGGCTTGAGAATTTAAACACTATCATTGATTCATGTACAATTGACTGTACATATAAAAATCTTCATGTAAAAACTAAACGACACTTTCCCCGAAGTACCATTTAGAGGCAAATTCCTTTGCAAGTTCCCCAGTATAGCTAAGAATAGATATGAATCCCTCTTATTTTCACAATTTCGGAAATTCCCTTTCATAGCCGATAATCATCTAATAATAGTATTTCAAACCTTAAGTACATTACTCAAAAGCACTTCAATATGTTCACTACATATGTATATATCTCACATATGAATGAACATAAAGAACTTACCGACAAACTCATTGCGAATTCTCACTCTTTCCTGCAGTTCTTTATTAGCCACAATAATACAGTTGACAAATGCCATCAATGTGGTTTTGTAAGGAATCAAGTCCGCCTTTCTTAGTTCATTTACAACCACACTGAAGCGGTATCTTTGTTTCTTCATTATCTGAAAAGATACACACTAGAACTTTACTTAAGTTATCAAATATTTGGAATGTTATGAATTCTTACCTTTTTTTGTTAAGCAATACATTATTGCAAAAAATATTGCTTTGAAATATTACAGAAACTATCTGTAGCTTATTTCATTAATATTAAAGATTGTTTCAATGCACTCTTTTGAAATATGTTATTGCATCAGTTATATTTACCCACCTTCTCTATGACTTTCTCTGGAAAATATAGATTATATGTGAAAATTATTTTTTTAGAACATGGACATTTTAACTTTTACAGAAATGAGATAGACTAATTCAACCACCTAGAAAAATATCTTAAGGTTTGACCGTATAAATACTATTTTCCAAAATAAAAACTACTCAATAATACCTCCATGAGATGTATGAAATATATGGAGATAACGAACAGTATTCAAGCTCAAAGTCCATTAAACAATACAAATTTTAGAGCAGAGAAAACACGAACTTCTAAAACATTAGAGGTGTGATCAGGTACCATGGAGGAGTGAGCATTCCCTATTCACCGGTCACACCCGCCGTGTGCTCCTTGTCATGTTTAGGAAATGACGGAAAGCTCCGTCGACAATTCATTGTGTAAATAATGGCCTAACAATTAGTATGAAAAACGTCAGTCAGAATTTGACTGAATGATGTATGTCGCTCCATAAAGTGAAGATTGTTTTCGGCATTTGTGTTTAATGCTTTTATCCCTATCCTTTTAATTGAATACTGGTAATAGCGTTAATCCTAGAAAGAGACATATGCAAGGCTATTAAGTGAGATTGATTAAAACTATTATAACCATCAGTTATTTATCTTGTCCCCCGCCAAGTAGATAGGATACTAAAACTTGTTTTCATTACAAATGGTAAAAGTCCGAAAATGGTTGATTTATATACCTTGTAGCTGTCTAGAGCATCCACTGTTAGACTGTATCCATCCTTTGAGTACACACACAGAGCTGCAAAAAGCTCAAAAACTTGCTTCTTTACCATTGCATGGTTGGTATCTAAAGCTTAAAAATATACAATACAAATCACATTAATGAAAAAAAAATTACATCGTATGTGAAAACAAGTTTTACGTTTAATGTTATTTCTTAACAGTTTTCCTTTTACAAATATGCATTAGGCTATCAAAATATTTCATGGAAGATTGAGAGGTTTTTATAATGAATAGGTAGCGATATGATTGAACAAGGGACAAAACAAATAGGTAGCCATATCATTGAATAAGGCACATTGTATTTATTTCTTCATTCCAAAATGATTAGAAAAAGGTGCTATAACCTCAAAAGTGATTTGACACCATACGTTATTCTAGGAGGGCAAGAACATTGATGTCTCAGAAACAGTCGAACAGACAAGATAAAGTTGAGCTCTTATATTACCTTTGACAAGTTTTTTCGTGTAGCTTCCATTCTGAATCAGAAAGGATAATCCCTGCTTTGAATTTACCAATTTGGTGATACAAACGACACACTCCGAAAGTTTTAACGCTTCAAAGAATTTTTTAACTCTCCGGTTTCCCATAATATCAATAATGTCCAGCAAAGCATCAAGTCCACCGGAACTTAAAAATTCTCGAGTCCAATTTGTATCCATTTCATTTATTTTCCTTTTGAGGGCAGACAAACCATTGAGGGTAGGATCTCTTAACAAGTCTACAGACTTCTCGGGATCAAATGAATCAGAACGTATCTGTAGAATGACTTTTCTCACCAGTTTTCGAAATTTTCCTGCTGAGTGTTTAAGTTGTATATTATCCTCGTCTGATGAAAGAGATGATGGAGTCGATGTGTTCTTCAATGCCGTATCCTTTAATGAGTTTTCCTTAACATCCATTTCGTCTTTCGTCTAGAAACAAATTGCGTGTATCTTGTCGCAATTAAATTCTTAATACTAAATAACAAAAAAAAACTTCCTAGACAGAATCCAAAATGTCACTACTTACATTTTGCTCCTTATTGATTTTCTAAAACTGCTTATAGTCTCTTTTTGCTTACGTAGTTAATTTCAGCCAAGCTTAAGGGTAATCATCCTCGCAGTCTGTTCCATGCTAGAAGATTCGAAGATCTGGTTTTGTTATGTTTCCTTGGTCTTTTTCATACTTCAACGAAGAAAATAAATTCCTTGCCAGAATTTATTTTTTTAGCACAGTGAATTTTGTCAAACTGTCCATTTATTAAATACACTGTATGTTTTACTTTCTTGCACATGAAATGGTTTCCTTATTATAAGTTAAAGTTTTGCTGTTGACATTTATTGTATAGACGATTTTCTGAAACTTCTTGTAATTTATATCTGTGTCGTAAAGTCCTGTTTACAATATAAACGTACTATAAATCCGCTTATAAAGTCCGCCTAGCTACAAGTTATATTAAATTACTGAATTCATTTGTATCAAACGACGTATAAGGAAATGATTAAATAATGGGCCTTAGCAAATAAATGGGATAGGGTAATTCCTAAACTGAGAATAAAAATAATACTGAATTTCTAAAATCTGTTGGGTACTTGTTACATAAGATCTATTTATTCTTTAGGATTATTTTTAAATTGCATAAGGAAATTTGATACAATAGATCATTTATGTTTCCGGATGATTTATTGGCAAGAGATTCTGATAATCTAAGTTTTTACTAATAAAGAGTACATAAGAAATGAGGGGAAATTTTCACGATAGAGAAGGAAGAGAAATATTAACGCCTTTAAATTTGAAAACAAAAGAAGAGGGAAGCATTAGTTTTACACTGTTTACATTTAATCTAAAGATTTGGAGAAATATAACAGTAGAGATCAACAGCCAAGGATTGAGGAACTGGATGAATATATACACACACACGTATAATTTATCAACACAAACATGAATACATGTTCATTCTTAATTTTGATACTTGGAGGGAGAGTGTAATTACATTCACATATACACCTTTTAACATCGCATTTATTTGTAACTATTAAAAATAAAAACAAATCATACACAGAGGGAGAACGGAAACTAGTACTTACATTTAAGTGATCACAATGCCATTGTAAGAGAGTATATATAAGTAGAGATTGCGTCACTTAAATGTTAAACAGTGATTCTTCAGGATGCATAATTAAATACTTGTAATATGATCGATGAGCTATTTCTCAATTTACACCGTAGTAAAAAAATTCACAAAAAATTAATTTGCTCGCATATCTTGATAAACATAATCATTTGTCTATTCTGAACAAATATCACAACATTTTTTGCTTGGTTTGTCTCCACTACAGTTAAATGCCCGACGGTATATAGACGCCATTATAATTCTTTATAATTTGATTGCGTAAAGGAATGTCTCCTTCTAAAGGTCACTTGAATGAAATTGGTTATCTAAGAATTGGAGGTATTTGTGATGAGATCCGACCAAAAAGCACTTGAAAACATCCTACAAAAAGATGCTTAAATTTATCTTTTTACCTGAAAGTTACACTACACTGACTGATCTAAACTAGCGACATCAAGGAATGCTTGATTAAGCACTCATATCCTTTTTTGAATACAAACAACGCTTTCAGAAAAAAAAATAACAAAATTAAGACGCACAGAAAAAAGTCAGAGTTACAGTAGAGCAGTTCCGATTGTTTAACCTAGAAATGAACTGGTTTTGACAAATATTGGCAAATGTATTTTAAAATGCAATTAGACAATCTATGTAATTGTATTGAAATATAAATTAATATATGCACCATTGCATTCTTTCCTCAGCAGATTATCAATTATAACATAAATATGAAATCTATTTTCAATGGAAATATTATAGATATGTTATGTTTTGTTCAAAAAGTGGTCATGATAAACAGAAAAGCATCTGAGTTTTATCCTGTGAATGCAGCCTTCACCATTTATGATAGCCAATGGGAGGCTAAAACTCTACTCTATTTACATACAATTGCCTTCTTGAAGTATCAGTACAAAAAAGAGTTAGGTACAGATTGTGGACAAAAGTATTCAAGTATTTGCATGATCGTGATATTTAAACGAGCTTAAAGCAAATTGTCCAATTCATGTTGCCTCTCTTTCCATTGCAAGGATTCAACCCATCACAAAGATATATTTAGAAAGTCTGAGTCATTAACAGTAACGTAATATTATTTGTTTTCGTCTGAATCTCTTTAATACATGCCAGTCTTGATAAAGGAAAACATGGGTCAGAAATCTGCTGAACTTAGCAAGGACTGTAAAGAAAACATCATTACATTAATACAGGATGGTTAAAGTTTTGTTGAAGTTGCAAGTTGAATGAAAATACCTTAACTAACTGTATTGAAAAGTGTTTGAGAGATGGTTCCATAAAAGTAAACATAGAAGTGGACGCAGAAAATTAATGGAAGAACGTCTGCACAGAGACAGATATGATTGGATAAAAAAGATGTGCTATATATAACAAGGAAGAACAATGAAAATAACAATGCTAGTGTGACAATGAAAACTATCTGGCGTTTTAAAAAGAAAATACAGATCTGAGTAGCAAATTGTGTGAAACGTGTGCGATGGTGTGTATGCAAATACTGAATTGTCTGGAAAAAATAATTTTCTCTGAAGAAAGTCAAATTGTCATATGAAATGGCTGTAAAGTATATATACAGAAAAAGTGATGAGTCCAAGCTATTGGACTGCATTTCCTTTGGAACCAGTAAATATCTAGTGTCATGAACTGGGGATGCATTACGTCTCATGACGTTAGTACGACTTGTAGAGTTTCTGGCATCATAATTTCCGAAAAATACATAAATATTTTTGAAAATAACTTGTGACATGTGGTAGCAATGCATTTTACCGGTAAATAACCTTATCTGTTTATTGCATTGATGACAATGCACCCGGCTGTCCATCGATCTCATCTTTCTACAAATTGTAAAAAATATCAACAACGTCCAACACAGGAGTAGTCAGCACAGTGACGTGAATGAATTAAATCCCATGGAAACATTTTTATCGCAATTAAATTCATTTCATGAACTGTATTACATTTTAAATTCTTTTTTAAATAAAAACACTAACAGAATGATTTCTGGAAAAAAAAAATCTGTATGCATATCAGATTCCAAAACGAGTGTGTCGATTATAAAATGGCCTCGGCTATATCACATAATATTAAATAAACACCCACTTTTCTTCACTTATATTGACCTTCCGGTAGACATATAAACAGATTTTGTGTCATGACGATTTATTTCTGCAGATCAAAAATTACAAAAACACATTTGAATACTGTAAAGTGTTTTCGAAAAACAAAATTGCCGCCATTATCGAGCAAAGACTTTTGTCAATAATCTGTAGCTTTATTACTAATAAATTAGAAATAGGCTCTCTCTTCACGTGTATTTGTCTCTCAGTCCTTTAATCTGTTGTACTTTCACCATCCTTCAGTTCGCAAAATAGGTCATGTGTTCTCAGAGAAAGTTTTATCGTCTCAAATTTTTTTTTCCAGGATTACGTGCTTCACAAAATATCTGAATTTAATGAGCACTTATAAATAAATGAAGGGACATTGTTTTCGAACAAGACATTCTCTTAAACTGCATCTCATCTTTTTCAAGATGTTAATGCAAGATTAAAAAAATGATATTTAGGTTATAAAATAATATTTGATTTTCACGGATTTTCGAGGTATGCACTCTACAAGTGATCTACATTTCTTATTCTATTTTCATTGTTCTTAGTCTTTATCTATATTCTCACTTAATTAGTACTTAATGATTACTTAATAATTAATATTTGTTTACAAAACCAAGCAGAATTTTCCCAGCAATAGTAATTAATAGACTCGTATGTTTGTCTAGTTATTTTTTAATACGTGTAAATAAAAAGGTTTTGGAATAATTGGAATAGAGAATTAGTGTATTTAATGGCACTTTCAGGGAAAAAAACCCAGTAGGAAATATCAACCAAATTAATTCACGTAAGGAGCACATTTACACAAAATAATAATAATAATTAAAAAAAAATTGCAAAATCTAATATCACTTTAATCAACATAATAAGATACAAATAATAGATACAACACAAGAGAAATAGAACTATTTGCTTTGTTTCTGTGTTAATTAATGTATTTTGTTACCATAATGATTGTAAATTGTATTTCTCTGCAAACTTACCAAATACAAGCTTATAATCTCAAAATTTCATGCAGTTTTTCTTATTCCTAAATGTACTTCTAGATTCTTTTGACGTGTTTCTTTATTAAATTCAAGTAAAATTGAGTACTTTCCTTATATACAGTAATTTTTTTGCAAAGCCAGTGTCATATGTTCGTATAGGAAGAAAAAAAGTAGTGAAATGTATGTATTCAAGTAACATTTTTAAATTAGAAAACTTACTTAAGGTATGTCACTCGTGAAATTTGTTATATCAAGGATTTTTTGAGAAGTATATTTTGGATAAGTACTCATATAGTATGACTCAAAATCGCTGAGAAAGTGGGGGGTCAGTGTGCATCTAACTGAGCTACGGTACAATTAAGTTGACCTTTTTGCACTTAAATTGTAACTCTTTGGTAAATCACTTTAACCGTTATCATATTTTATAAGATGTAACCATGGCAATAAACATAATCTTATTTTACGTAAAATAGTATGAATAATATTTATCATTGAACAAATCATGCAAATTAATGCGCGTAAATAATTGTGTAACCTTTTTGCACTAAAAAAGTATCATATTTAGGGTATTGAAAATCTAAATAGGCAATAAAATATTTTCTTGTATCAAACTTTTTACGACTTAAGTGCTGATCGGTCAAAAGTATCGAGTAGTTTAAAATAATGAAAGAAAAAGTTGGGGTCAGTGATGTAAATTTTGAAATATTGGT